CCCCCCCCCCCTTTTCCTCTCGCGCGGCCTGAAACCGCCCCTCCGACAATTCCATGACGTCCGCACAGGGCCCTTTTTTTCATGACGTCCGCAAAGGGCCCTTTTTTCATGACGTCCGCACCGGCCCCCCCTCGCATGGATTTCGACGTCGCGCCACCGAACGATGCGCGAATCAGACTGTCGTTCTGAGACCCACGGACCGTTTGTGCGTAAGGCCGAGAAGGATTATGCGTGGGGGCCTGAAATCCTTGTGCGTACAAATTCGAGCAGCGCCCGTGCGAATCAGGCCGTATTATGAGTTTTCGTTGGGGAGATGCTGCTAGACGGACGTCTCGCACTGACATTGTCATCAACACCAGCGCCCCTCACAGGCGGAGCGCCATAGCTTGCAAGCAGCACGAGGCAAACCTCCGTCGCACCAACGCACGTCGTCCTCCTTCACCTTCCGTGTTGCGTTCCACGTCACCTTCCGCGTCGCACCGCACTCGTTGCCGACCTTTCACGTGTCTGTCCACGCCATATTCCTCGTGGATCGCTTTATCGTCCACCTATCACGTCGACCTGCTCGCGTGGTCATCTGCCTGTGCGTGTCGACCTGCTTGCGTACTCTTCCATTGGCGACGGGTTCATCCAGTGAGTTGGCACATATCCGTTTTGATTCGATCGCTCTTCACTCCGTGTGTCTGTGTGTGCGGATGTGTTTATGTAGACTGAACGAGTGTGTGCATGTGCATGTGCGTGTCTCCATGCGAAAGGTTTTTGTTCGCGGATGCATGACGTGGCATGTATGCAATGCGCGTGTGTCCTACAGGTGCGACCTGCTCCCCACCACCTGTCTTGTGAACGAGTGTGTGCATTTGCAATGCGCGCGTCTCCAACAGAGTGCCCGTATGCACATGTGCTCAAGTGCGCGAGTGTGTCGTCCTTGCATAGATTCATCTTGCGCAGCTGATCAACCGAGCAGGCTGAAGATTCACTCCGATCTTTCTAAAGATTCATTCCGATCTGGGTGATGACTCATTTCGATCTGGCTGATGATTCATTTCGCTGATCGATTGCCTCGGCGGTTGATCGCTTGCTTAAGTTGACAAAAATCCATGGACGACACACTCGCGCACTTGGAAATATGGTGGTTTGAACGAGATCGGATGGATGCTGGGCTAAATGGTTTGGGTTGAATGAAGGGAAGACGGAAACGAGTAAGGAGAACGGAGCGCTAATGTATTTGTTTTTCCGCACTCGAACGTTCAGTCAATGAATGTCCACTTCATCCCCAATCCCTGTTCAAACAATCTCAGGCGGATCGTTCAATCAATCAATGTCTCGTCCTATTGCTGTTAACTTCATCTCAGGCGACACATTCCGATCTCCCCAAGCACGACAATGCAAGTCTTTGTTTGTGTGCAGGATGAGCATAATCGGAACGAATCCGATCGACACGATGATCAAAATCTAATAAATCCATGTGTGGAACATGATTGCTTTGGTTTATTGAGAGATTCCCATCGACACGATGAGCGAAATCGAATGAACCTACGCCTGGATCATTCAATCCACGCATGGAGCGTGATTGAGAGATTTCCATTGATTGAATGGATAACGAAAACGAAAACGGAACTGTAACTCATTTTTTCTTTTTCCACTCCAATCAGAGTTGTCCATCCAATCAATGAATGTCCGATCCGATTGCTGGATCGTTCAATCAATCAATCGGTTGGCTGAGAACGCGCCTCGGTTTTGCTTATCCTGCCATTTCGAAGCTCCAAGAGAAGGGAAGGACTTGCTTGCGATGAAATGAACAGCAGTCGACCGATTGCTGGTGATCGCAACGCAGGCAAGTCATTCCAATCTCCTGAAACTTGGCAATGTCAGTCTGTGTTTGTGTGCAGGTTGAGCAAAATCGGAACGAGTTCTCAGCCAACACATGACAATATATTGGCAAGACGGCACGTCCATCGACACGATGAGTGAAATCGGAAGAATGGACTGCTGGTACATGGTTGGTTTGATTGAGTGAATGATTTCCATCGATACGATTTGATTGACTGGAAGACGAAACCAACAATGAAGAACGGAGCGACACTGTCTTCATCTTTTCTTTTCTGATCATTCCATCAACGGATGTCCAATCCGCCCCCCACTCCCGCTACACATCCGCCCTGCAGGCGATCAATCATTAGAAACTGAATGGTGCACAATCGGAACGACTTTTTGGTGGCCGACGGGGGTTCGATCTGATCGCTGGTTGAACGAAGATCTTGCAGCGGTCGATTGATCCTCGTCCGCCATTGAACCTTTGTCGGCCATCGAACCTCGTCGTCCATCGAACCTCGTCGGCCATCTAACCTCGTCGGCCATCGAACCCTGATATGGATTTGATAAAAAGCCCACCACCCGACGAAGTCCGGATCCCGGCAAACTTCTCATTCCCATTCGCCCTCTCATGAGCCACTCGATTCGCACAGCAACGCAAGCCTGTCCGGTACCACATGCGCATCAAAGGACCGAAGGCGGTATGGAAAATACTCGAAGTTCGCCGATATCCGAACTTCTTCTGACGATCGATAGCTAGACATGAGACTTTCGGAGCGTGAAAAGGCCGACGACCGTTTGGAAACGCGTCAAGTTCGGGTGCGGGCGAACTTGTGCTGTTGTCTTAATGTGCTGGAATGCGAAGTCCGCCATCCTGGTTGCCCTTGGATTTGAACAATTACCAAGTCCGCCCGTATCCGAACTTCGAGGGGCTCCGAAATTCAGTTATCGACCACGCTTGCTCGGATTGGAGCTTCGGATGTCGGCCACGTAGAATACCATGAAACCGCCTTCTCGCCGGGCCACCTTTGAGACTGTGGTCGTCCTTGTGCGCCATGATTCCAGAAACCACGCAGAGACGAATATTGGCGCAAACGTCAGGTGCGGATCCAGGCGAACTTCGCATTTCCGTATGATGCAGGTTCTTACTTTGGTGTTTCCGGCGGCCCGTTAATTGCATCAAGGACACAAGTTCGGAGGCTGGCGGACTACCAATTATTGACCTTTTTCCAACGAGACTTCGGTTTCCCTCCTGGGCAGTGGAATTAAGCAATCGCTTCGCGTTGCTACGAACGTGTTATGGCGGTGAGCTCTCTATCTCCCAGTCTCTCGCACCTTCTCAAAGTTCGGATCCCGCCGAACTTCGCTTTCCTACAAACACTTCGGTTTGACCGTTCTTCGCATTGCGACCGTGCATTTTCGACCCGCATCTGTCGATGTTTTTTTGAATTGATTCCGAATAATTTCAATGCACAGACTTTAACTTTCCGTAGCTTCATCTGTGGGGTGTTTACGAATCAGGATGTTAAACGTGTTGTAGACAGGTATTGTAGACAGGTGTTGCCAACATCACGTTTCTGCCTGTCATCCGCCCTGTCATTGGGTCCCCTGTCATTGGGCCGCATTCCCCTGTGCATGTGAAGTACTTGAAAGCGTGTGGAACCTCGTGAATATACAGTTCGTGACCTTTAGACTACGTGTAGGCGTGGCAAAAGGGAGTGGCCATTTGCCGACTCCGTTTACGACTGTGTGCGTGGCCGTGTGTTTCGTTTGATATGTGTCCGTGGTTTGTAGGGTGCGTAATGGAAGGGAACTTCTCGACACCACAGATCATGCATTCGATGTTCTCGACACCGGAGACCATGAGTCCCGAGACGCACATGCGCTTGGCAGAACCGTTTCCTCCTTGTGCGAAATCCGTGAGGCACTTCAACGGCGTGACTTCGATCCACGGAGCCACCATAGAGGACTTCGAAGAGGACTCGTGGATGACCGTCGTCCCGTGCATGGGCAAGCATCTTGACGGTTGGCACGATGTCAATTGGGCCGCGATGGAGAGTCGATGCCCCTGGGCAAGCCAGTACAAGTTCGCCAACATGTTGAAGTTTGGAGACCTCATCACGCTGCCTGACGCTGTCCTCGGACACAAGTTCCTGAGCCGTATGCGCAGAACACTGAGCTGCATTAGCCACCATTTCAGTCGCCTAGAGTGTCACTACATCACGTCGTCGCCACGCAAGTGGACATGCTCGTGAAAACAAGAGTTGGTGGACTGCGTTCGTCACTGCTCGTTCCTGGAGCACTACCCGCTCCGTTGCCCTGGTCTTTCTCCACAAGCTGTGTCTTACTGTTGTGTGAGGTTGACTGTATCCCGAACCGATTTCGCCAGAGTGCTGTGTCTCGCCACTTGTAACAAAAGTAGGAAACTCGTTGATGCAGTTGTGCTTGTGTCACGAAACGAGGTGGTAATTGAGGGGTCCAAATTTGTCGAAGCGCGCGGGCCAGAACGTGTAGATGGGTGGTCTGACCTCCTGATAGCAGGGCAGGTCCAAAACTTTTCCTTGTGGCATTAAGCGGAAGAGAAAGTGTCTGATATACGGGACTGTATTGGGAATTCCTTAGCCAGACCGGGAGTTTTCGTTCGGATGAAATACATGTCCGTCTTTTCGGAGAATGCGTCAGCCAAAGAACCGCAGATCCACGTTTACGGATCTCCAATGAATGCTATGTATGGCTTCGGGTCACGACCTCGTCCACGAGGGACCTCGAATGTAACCAGATTTGGACGGGTTGTCAGACCTCGTGTTTGAGGGAAACGGAGCGAGAGGTGTGAGAGGTAGTAGTTGATAGTAGAAATTATATGGCGCACGTGTGGTGCAAAGCCCAAGCTATCTATCTCAACACGCTTCAGTCTGTCCTCCGACGCCGTGGCTTTCCTGACGCGCAGCTGATTGCACTGAACACGAAAGTGCAGAGCCTTCGTCACGCATGTCGCGTCTCTCTCCAGCACCGGCCCTATGTTCGGATCTCGACGAACTTCGCTTTTCCACAAAGCCTTCGAACCAACTGTGTGTTTCCTTACGCCCCTTCGTCGGACCCCCACCTTCACCAGACCTCGTACGTGCGTGTGGAACTCCGTTGCATCTCAGGTTCCGGTAACCGCACAAGTGCGGATTCATATTGCTCTGTCGTTTTTTCTCGCGGCCTCATGCGACAACGACCCATGTCCGCCCTTGCCCAGACGACTCGTTTCGTCCGCGCTCGGATGTGGGCAGACTTCGCCTTCTCAACCAGCCTGTCAACTAAGTGCGCCCTGTCTCTTCCGGTCGCCCCCTCCAGAAGTTCGGATCCGGGCGAACTTCGCATTTTGGGTGATGCGTGGGTGTGTCAAAGGCCGCTCTGCGGTTCGTCGAGTTGCGTGAGGAAGCGACTGCAGTCCAGGTAATTCACGGACGAGCATATGGATCCCGCGTGTTATCAGTTCTTGGGGCAGTCTTCCGGGATGCTCAATCGCAATTGGGGTCAGGTTTTGGGACCTTCTTGTCGGATGTGGGTCTGTTTCGAGCTGAGTTTCACACTCCACAAACAGAACACCCCCCCCTGGATTCTGCAGGTTATCAGTTGTTCGGGCAGTCTTTCGGGATGCTCATTCGCAACTGTGGTAAGTTCGGTGGACCTTCTTGTTTGATGTGGGTCTATTTCGAGCGGAGTTTCGCACCTCGTGAACGGAACTGCCCTCCGACACGGTTTCTCGCGTAATGGCTTTTGCACACTGTCTGCAAGCCAGTTGATTCCCAATGATGCACAATCACCGTGCACAATTGTCGACCATTATGATGCTTGTAAGATAGGAAGTTCACCGACATCCGAACTACGCGAACACGTCTTTCTCTGTCGGAACTTCATGCACCGTCTGCCTCGAATTCTGGTGGAACAAGGTCGGACCCTGTCACAATGGCCCATCAACATTTGCTGAAGTGCGCCGGAATCCGGACATCGCTCATGATACATATTCTCCGATGGTAGAGCGATCTTCAATAGTAACCACATGTCCCCGCAATCTCTCGGCCTGGAATTTTCCAGTCCGGAATAACAAAGGAGGTCCGCAATATGAGAAACGTGCGCAAACTTGACCTCCGATGGACGAAGTTCGCCGGAATCGGAACTTCTAACATATGCTATAAAGAATTCTAAAGCTGCCCGTTTGCGTGCTAACTGTCGACAACCACCATTCCCCTCTCTGCTTTTCGCTCGCCGCCAGCGCACCTACTTTTCCCTTTGCGGTGTTCTGCTTTTCTATTTGCCTGGCTTGTAGTCCGCCGATATCTGAAGTTCCCCATTTGCTGATTGTTGGCGGTGTTGTTTGTTTTCGAATGCATCTTCCGCTACGTCTGGTGCAGACACAATGTCTACGTCAAGAGGCGAGGAGCAGTCTACGGGGACCTCGGGGAGGGAGTCGACGAACGCAAACTCGTGGTCGAATCATGCGCACACGAAGTGGTTCGTTGATTGGTGCTTTGCCGAAGATGACGAGCCCATGAAACCGCCTTGTGGTCCTGTCATCTTCGTGGAAGACAGAAAAGGACGAAGAGTGCTCGGCTCGGTTACGGGATGGCAGCCATCGAAAAACCACGACAAACGATGCTACTTGATGCGTGTCGTTTACAATTCGAAGGGCGACGTTATGGCAGGTGCGAAAGGGGCGATTCTCTCGTGGGATCTGTTCCAGGGGTTTGGTGGGGGGGCTTTGAGGACCCCTTTCTACACTGAAGTCGAGGAGGGAGGTCTTGTTTCGGCCAGGGAGTTTTTTGACGAGGTCGAGAGGAGCGACTTCGACCTCGACGATCCCTGCCAAATTTCGAGCGACCTGGAACTGTCGCTTAATGTGCAAATGTGCTCCGGGCTCGTTTCCAGTGGTTCAGTACAGCCCCGACAGGGTAAGGAAATGGGTTCCGGTGGTTCAGTACAGCCCCGACAGGGTGAGGAACGCGGTCGCTTCGATGACAGTGAGGAGGAAGAAGAGGAGGACACGCGAGTTTCGCCGCAAAGACTCGGAGATCGTGGGACGCTGAGAATTCCGGGGGCTGAGAGAGGGGCAACGGTCGTCAAGCAGTCGTGGACGTCGGGTGGTCGTCTCGGCTTGGGGTCGGAGGACAGGACAGTTGGCGTCGTTTCCGGCGGGGAGGGAGGGGAACAGCAGTCTACACAAAAGAGAAGGGGAGGTTCTGAGGGGGAGGCGTCGGGAGCTAAAACGAAGCAGAAGACAAAGACCCCACAACAGTCAGGTGGGAAAAGGAAGGGAGTTGAGGGGCATGTCGGCGCGTCGAGTCAAAAGCGCCCGGCCTCGGCTCAGAAGCCACCCCAGTCGGCCCCTGTCCAGCCCAGAGGTGTCATCGACATCGACGCGGCATACTTCCTGGAATGGAAAAACGGCGTGCGAACAAAGCGGGAGTTCGCCATTAACCTGTCGCAAGTCATCGACATCGGCGAGTGGGAGGCGGCATACAACCAGCGTTCCTTGGATCACGTGCAAATACAGGCCATTATTGACGCAATGACGACGGCCTACTCTCAGACCAAGAAGACTTACGAGCTGCCGACACTAAAGCTCGCGCCTCTCAGGCTGGTTAAACCGACGCCCGGGGTGCGGGCGGATCGTCTGAAGCCGGAGGACTGGAAGGACGAGCTCGCAGGGCAATATTACTACGCTGTGGCGGGCCAGCATAACGCGGCTGCGGCCAGGGCGCTGCTTGGCACCGATGTGGCGGTGAGGTACAACTTTGAGCGCTGGCCTGCACGAATGGTGTACTTCTCGGACGAGGACTTTGAGGGGTACTTTCTGGTCAGCGGCGAGGACCACAAGAAAGACCTGAAGGGCCCTCCGAAGCAGCTGAAACTCTCCATGACAGACATTCGGTGGTGTTGGAAGGAATTGGGTTACCCGAAAGCTGTTATGGGTAACCCCAGCGGGAAACAGGCGCAGGTGGAGGCATGGCGAAGATTTTGTGCGGAGGTGCTCCACAGGACGCCGTACAATCACTTGTGGACTCTCGCCGATGACAAGACCGAGCAAGAACTCAAGAAACAGAACGCTGCCCTTCGATCCTATTTCCCGCTCGCGATGGCAGGGAAAAGCGCATTGGAAACCGGGATGGAATTTTTTGAGAGATGGGATACGGGTAGACTGCTGGCACTGGAAGGAGCGAAGTGGATCGCGAAGAAGAAGAAGTTGCAGGGCCTCAAGCCAGGTGTGAGCCACATCGAAAACGAGAAGGACGGGGGAAAGGCAGTCGTCTACAATATCCCCGTCGAAGGGCCACAAAAGAAAGGCAAGAAGGAAAAAGAGCCAGGCGACTGGTTCGTCCAGGTCACCAAGCCGGATCCGCACTGCTGGAAGAGCATGGAGGCCCTTACCGACAATGAGAAATGTCGATTGTTGAAGAAGATTCTCAACTGCGAGGTGGTGTGGGTGCAGACAGGGTCCTCCGCGTTGGCGAAACAAAGGAAGCTGGGATGCAAGAGGCAGTGCAACTGGTGAAGTGCGATCGCATATTAGTGCGGTTGTGGAACTACTACCAGTTCAAGCATGAGAATCGGCCAGACAGTGACTGGACCACTAAGTACCCCTTCTTGAAAAAACGAGAGGCGATTTTGGCAAAGTTTGAAGGGCAGGGGCTGGATGCAGCGTTGTGGGACGGGAGCAGGAAACTTGTTAGCGACTCCTCCTTGTTCAAGGACTCTCCGCCCTACATGGGTTGCGAGGACGACAAGTCGATCAAGGCGACAGAAAAGCTAGTCCAAAACAAGAAGTTGCCCATCGACTGGAAGAACAAGGTCCTCTCCGTGTTGACCGGCAGCAGGTCGAAAAGCATGGAAGTCGCGCTGGCCGAAAGGATGGTGCACATTCTGTGGAACGACTCGAAGGACGTCACAACTATTGCCCTGTTCGGCATCGACCCTATGAATGCGCAGATGAAGGTCGTGGAGTTGGAGAGGGTGGTCGGAATCACAAAATGCCACACGTGCGTTCTCGACTTGTGCGAACCGGTGGACATCAAACACTGGACAGCTAAAGTCTTCGAGAGTTTGAATGCCCTCCTGGAGCACTTGTTCCCCTCGCACTAGACAATAGTCGCGTTCGTCCCCCGTGAGCTTGACTACTACTTCATGACCAGCCTGCACCATCTGTCTGTCGTGAAGGCAATGGCCGGGAAGTGGGTGAGGAGGACGCAGCAGAAGAAAAGTTTATGTGTCGGCCACAACTTGTACTCCTTGGACGACCGCATGTACATCCTTTTCAAAGGCGACGACTTGCGGGAGAACACATCTGTTGTCTACGACGCGAGGTTGGCGGCGGGTGATGCTGCCGCGGTGGGGCCACTTCAGAAAGTGACTCCCGCTGAGATATCCGACATGCCGTTCGACGCTTGTGAATGGCCCGTCGTGATACATGGGCGTGATCCCGTGGTGTACAAGGGCCATGAGCGGAACACCACACAATTCGCCCGTCTGCTGGAATTCCTTTGCAAAAAGGGGGACAGCATCATGTTCCTCGGGAAAGCGCACGCACAAGTCGTGTGGGAGGTTTTGAAGGGTGGTCGCAACGTCATCGCGTTGGAGGGGAATTCGGAGTGGTTGCTATTCACGTTAAATTTCCTGAAAACCGCGGTCAACTCGGGAGCATACCGCTGCGAGTTCATTACGAAGAGTGAGAAGCCGAGACGCGTTTGGGATCCTTCGACGGACATGTGGTTCAAGCTAAGCGCCCGGAAAAGGAGCAGGATCTACGAGTTCCTCTTCTTGGAGAAGCGGCCAGGGAGGGGCACCGACATCGAGTATATGCGCCGCAAGGAACACATGTTGGCGCTGCTAGACAACTATCACGGCGCCACGCGCCTGAACGCAAAGAACTTCCTGGACCGATTGGAGTTATTGTACTTTGTCGAATCCGAGCCAGTCCTGAGGCTCGAGAGTTACGGTGCCTTGATCGACGCCGACGAAGAGTCCCTCACCAGTGTTGTCTTAGACACTGGTGCACCTGAGGAGGATAGCGACACCGAGGAAATTGACATCGACTACCGCCTTGCTCCGGTGCTCCCATCCCCGCCTCCTCGTCGGCGAGTCCCTCAACAAACCGGCCTGCACAAGCGACGCCCGTGCGGAGGACCCCTAGTAAGCTGTTGGCGAGATTGACACCTCGGCCTGCTGCGCCTCCTCCTCTACGTCCAGGGTGTCAAGTCCCCCTGCAACATCCTTCTTGGAAGGATGAGAACATCCACTTCGAAGGGCACGACCACACGCGTTCCACGGAGGCAGACTGGGGTCATGACATGATTTGGCACCCGGGGACGATCGAGCCCACAATTCGGAAGGGGGAGTGGGTCATGGCCATAGTCGACACTGACGGGGAATGGAAGCCATCCGAGCGCCTGGCCAAGTCCGACTACTTGGATATCGTGAGGAGTGCTGTGTTGGACAAAGTGACGTTAGAGAACAGCAACCTGCAGCCTGCCGACCCGGCCATCATTGCCACTGCTGATCGCTTGTTTCGGGAACTTCATGACAAGCAGTGGTTGGAACTATCTGACGATTTCTACGACCTCGAGACAAGCCCTTCGAAGAAAAAGGTGAACTGGAAAGTACCCCCGTCGACAGGGACCCAGGGTAGTGTGGGAGGAGGACCTCCGACCCCGCCCGGGGCCGGAGGGGGGGGAGGCAGTGGCCACGAGGAAGGAGGTGGCGGAGGCAGCGGCCATACGACATCAGGGGGAAGCGCGCCGACATCATCGCTTGCCCCTGGCGGTCAGGGCAGGATCGCGCACAGCGGCGTGGGGGAAGGGGGGGTGAATGTCACACACTCCCCAACAGCAAGGAGCGGCAAGTTGGGGAAGTTCACCCGCATCCGAACTTCGCAGACGGAGGACCCAGTGCCCATGGAGGCAGCGAAGTCGGTCGGCATCTGCACTTCGACGACTCTGGAGCAGGCGGCCCTTCCCTCGTGGACTGCTTTCGGCTCCTCCAGTGAAGTGGGGCGGGGCTCATGTGCAGGGGATCCAGTCTCCGCCGTGAAGGGCAAGTCCGCGGGCATCCCTACCGGGGCGGACGACGTTTAGGCGAGTGTACCGGTCCAGTGGAGCTCTACAGGAGCACAGGCGTCAGAAATGGGCGCCGCCCTAGCTGTGCGGGAGGCGACGCCGCCGGTCCTTGGACAAGGCCGATCTGCGGAGTCACAGAGAGAGATTGTTGGTGCAGCGCCGTCCGCCTTCCTTGCGACGAAGTCCGCCGGTATCCGTACTTCGTCCGTGACGTTGATGCGGCTGCAAGGAGCCGAGTCGCGTGAGACTGACGGGGGGGAAGAGTGGGTGGAAGTCGAGGGCAGGGAAGAAGGGGGAGAATGGGAGGAGTGGGGAGAAGGAGACGAAGGGCGAGAGAAGGAGTTGATAACATTGCCCGACGGGGAAGACGGTGAAGAAGGAGGACTCAGTATTACAGACGAGGAAAGGGTGGATGTCGGAGACGAGGATGTCTGTGGGGAGACATCTGATTCGTTCGGTCTGGTGTACGCCAGACTAGGTGAAGGTGATATTGATGACGACGCGACGGCGATGGAGATGGAGACGCAGGTGGTTAGTGGCCTTTCCGTGGACCACAAAGAATATGATGCCCACCACCTGGCCACGGCGGTGCATCCCCCYGACGGGTGMGACGAGGCTATCATGACAGTGAGCYCGACGAAAACGACTCGCCGTCTTAGCGTCAACGAGGTCATCGATAGCATACTGGGCGACGTGCAAGCTAAAACACTTCCGTCCACCCCGTCAAAAGACGATGCCCTTCTCAGCAACGAAACTTTCGCTGCCGGGTACTTGGCGCTCATCGAGCCGTGCTTTCCGGTACCCTGGTCAGCGCGCATAGGAGGAAGGGGGGGGGTTGTCGGGGGCCTCCAGCACGTCACGTCCCGAAAAAGTGCAGGGTAGGCACTCCGGCCCTGGCTGCCCTCGCCTTACCAGCGCCCACGTTGCCGACGAAGGAGCGAAAAGAAAAACAAGCTGGTAAGCATTGACGATCGCCGCGATGTCAGCACTCCCGCGTTTCGTGATTGTCGACGCTGTTTGTCAACCCCCTTGTCGGTTTACGCCCCACGTTAGATGGACAAAACTTCGCTTCACTTGTCAGCGAGGACCAATTGGCCTCTTGTTCTTTAACACACCGTCACGCTTTATTCTGCGACCGCTCATCCGCTCCTCCCTCTACAAGTCCTCTGTCGTCGTCTCGACTTTCTATCTCTAGTCGACACCTGCAGTGCGGATACCGGCGGACTACAAGACAGACCGTACGATAAACGATTTTCGCAACGACGAGCTTGTGTGAATTCGCACATAAAACGACGAGCGCAGTCTAGCCCGAGAACCCTGCACATGACGACGAATAACCACATCACGCCAAAGAAGAGGAATGTTTACAAATGCCGAAGTTCGGATTCCGGTGGACTTGCAGCTACAACCAGCAGGTCTGGTCGCAGAACCGGGTTTGGTCCTGACACTGGAACTGCGGAAACCGTCGGAAAAACGGTAATACGGAAGGTCTGTTATGAAGTCCGCCGGCATCCGAACTACAAGTGTCGGCGCGAGGTGGAGCATGCCCCGTTGGTCGGTGTTTGCGAACTGTGGCTGCAACTCCGCTGTAATCCGCACATCGCCAAATGCCGACTTTCCACCTCGCGCCGGCACGTGTAGTGCGGACACCGGCGGACTAGAAAACATACCCTTCGAAGTTCCGGTTTCCTCCGGTCACCGCAGTTCCAGTGTTAGGACCAAACCCGGCTGGTCCGTGTCTGCTGGTTGTAGCTGCAAGTCCGCCGAAATCCGAACTTCAGCATTGGTCCTCATCTTTGGCGTGATGTGGTCTTCGTTGTCATGTGCTGGGGTCTCGGGCTCGACAACGCTCGTCGTTTTATGTCCGAATGCACGTGTGCTTGCGGGCTACATTATCTTTCACATTGTCACTTTCGTCGAACTCCTCCTCGAAATCATATATTCATTTCGGGTTTTGTCTGTTCTCTATTTTACAGGGGTCCGGTCGTCTCGAAAAAGGAGTTTCTCGAAATATCTGGCACGTGTATTGCAGAAACTTTCGAGATTCACGACAAGAAACAAAAATATGTTAAAGGCATCAAGGGTTGATGTCGAGATTGGAGAGAAGGAGCATGCCTTAGCCATTGACGAATGTCTTTCCCTTCTACCTGCGAAAAAAGAGGACATATCCACGATCTGTGACTAGGGGTCTGGCCATGTATGAAATATACTTAGCGACGTGTCGTGCGGTGAACGACAACTTTTAGAATTTTCTTTCTCACTTCCCCGCGTGTGCGTTGGTCGATGATGTGCAGCTCGGGCCACGGCACCTGCAGCCTGGGAAGGGCATTTCGCTACGGCGATTGCGCCTCAAGTCTCGCGGGTTATGGACGATGTTTCTCGCAGTGTGGTGCCTCCTCATCATGTCCTCTCTTCCTTTGCGGATGATCTATTCAGAATCACGGCGAAAGATATGCTCACCGTTTTGCAAGCCAATGGCAAGATCAATGATGAGGTGATGAATTTCTACATGGCCCTTTTGGGGTCGACGGCATCCACGACACGTGCACGACCATCTGGCCTTCGAATCTTCAACTTCAATTCTTTCTTCTTCAATATACTGCAACTTCGAGGACGCACTGGGGTGGAGAGGTGGGCTAAAAACGTTGATCTGCGTCAGTTCGATATGATCTTCGTTCCGGTGCACAAACATAACGATCACCGGATCCTACTTTCCGTTAATTTGAGAGACAATGTCTTTGAAATTTTTGACTTTTTTCCTCGCGTTAACGCCGATTCCAGTTTCTACCGTAGTGTTTTCGAGTTGATTGTACAGTATTTAGAACGTCATACCTCACATAGCCGGTCGGATAGGAGTTGGAAGACTATGGTCAGGAAAATTGTTGTGGAAGGAGTTCTAAGGCAAGTGGATGGAGCTAGTTGCGGGGTGTTCATGTTGACATTTGCAACGCTGTTGCAACGTGGTGATCGACCCCCTTTCAGATTCTCGAGAAAAGATTTGCCTGTTATTAGACGACAACTGGCAACATGTCTCTTGGAAGGACGTTGTCTTTGACAGTTTTCAATGACTTTTACAGAATTCTTTAAATGTATTTCATTCTATGACAATTGTATTTGGTAACATAAGACATTATTCAACTGTCTTTCTGAGTTCAACATTGTTTTCCTCATTGGGTATGTTTCTCGTTGTCTTTGGGATGCTCGCTGTCGGTATGACAGTGGTACTATTTTCGTGCAATTCAATATTGTTTTCTTGTAGTTGGATGACTTTGTTATGTGTGGACTTCGTCACCAGGGTCTCTTGTCGTGCAGTGGAACAATTCGTATTGCACTCTATGATTTCTATTGCAAGTGAAACATACAGGGCACCAACATCGAAAGTTCGGATATCCGCAGACTACAGCCTCTTCGCCCTCCGACAACAATCTTCTGTAGGTTGTGGTACATAAGATTGTTGTCGGGAGGGGGCGAAGAGGCTGTACTCCGCCGGCATCCGAACTTTCGATGTCGGTGCCTTGTACGATTCAGTTCCTCTGTATGTTGTGTGTGGAAAGTAAGGCGTGAAATTGGATTGTTGCCCCTTGCTTGTCACGACGGTTTGCAATTTTGCTATTTGAAGGCATCTATGTTATCGCGTGTCTTCTAGCCCTTAAATGACGTTCTCTCACTCTCTTTTTGTGCAGTGGAACAACTCGTGTTGCGCTCTATGGTTATTATTGCATGTACGACAACCTACATAAGACTTTTGTCGGGGGCGGGGGCAAAGAGGATGTAGTCCACCGATATCCGAAATTCCGATGATGGTGCTCGTTCGTTTTCACCTACGCTCGTCCTGTTCTGCTTTTGCACTGCTCTTAGAATTAGTCCACTTGTGGAAAAATATTTTGGGGTGTCTGACAGTTTTAGACACAGTCGCGGGCGTAAGATTCATCTTGCATTTCTACGTGCCGTCCGCTGTGCTGCTTGCGTTTCCGCGTGTCGTGAGTCGCCCCTGCGCCATCACGTAACAGCCTCGCTGGGAGCAACTCTATGGGGGCACTGGTTTCTCTGAATTCACCGCAGTGGTCGCCTGCTGTCCAACTGCCTGTTCCGCCGCACTGCTCGGGTGCACCCATAACTTTTTCCTGTTGGTTATTCCGCTGCGAGCGCGCGCCTGGCCTATATAGGCACGGGCGTGAGCTTACGCTACATCATTCACAAGCCATGTGTGAGAAACGTAAGGGTGGGGGTTCAAATCCCTTTTTTCGCTCGTATCACCGCAACGCGGCGCACTATGTGGCACCCATAAGACCAGTGTCCGACATGAAGTCGGCCTGGATTAAGGTGGCCGGCCCCGATGCGGGCCAGCGCACTATGTGGCACCCATAGCTCTTATGGGGGATTGGGGGAAGGCTCAATCCCGCAGCAGTAACCGCGGTAGTTCCCTTCTTCCCTTCCTCAACTCTGCCCACTGGAACTTTCGACATTCCAACATTCAAACACAACAAGGAGTCGACGTCATTTTGTTGTTGTGATTATCCATCAGTGGGGGTCGCAAGTTGTGCTGCTCAAGGCACCTTGCTCATCACGATCAGAAATAAGTATGGATCTCAGCACACTTATCAAACTTCTCCGACAAGGATACAATCAAAGCGCCTTGCTCATCACAATCGAAAATAAGACTTAGTATGGATCTCAGCACACTTATCAAACTTCTCTGATAAGGACACAATCAACGCGCCTTGCTCATCGGAATGATATATAAGTATGGATCTCGGCACACTTCCGCATATCAGGCACACCTTGCTCATTATAAACAAGTATGGATCTCAGCACACTTCCGCCTATGGGGCGAGTGGAGGGGTGAGTGGATGGGTATGCCTAGGTTGCTTAGGCTGCAGCTGAAACTGAATTCGTTCGAAAGAGAACACAATATAATGTCCTATTTTAACGAATAACTTATTATGGGCATTTTATATTTTTTGAACGAAATTGAAACCCACTTATTTGACCCTGGAAATGTCACCGTTTTAGCTCTTTAGGGTCCCCCTTGGATGTACATGAACTTCAGTTGAGTCCAAATGGACTCTCATGAGATAAACGGTGAT